GAAAAAAACTTTCTCTCTCAAAAAAAAAAAAAAAAAGAGAGAGAGAATCTGTAAGTTGTGAGGATAACAATTACCTACCGTAAGATCTAAGAGCCAGGGTACAGCTCCCAACTCTCTGCCACCCAGCCGCTGACTCACAAACACATCAAACTATTAGTGTGAACAACACATCTACACAGACAATCCCTCCGAAAGGCCATCAACTGATCCCATCCACACTGGGTAGACAGTGGAGCACTGTGCTACAGTATTAACAGCTGATCCCAGCCCTGGCCACAAACATTGTAAAATGTCTAAATTGCTTGCAGCTCTGGAAATCATCCTTTTAAAAGCTCAAGGAGACCCTAATAAGTAAGCAGTAATTACTAACTACTTATTAGATACCATAAAATGGGATATATGAGAAAAATAAAAACATGAGCCCTGTCCTTGATGAACAGAAAATGTTATTAAGAAGGCAAAACAATTCGTAGGAAAACTCAGACAATCATATAAGAGAGGCTATTGTGCCCAGTGCTAGATGGTGGTAGTGGTGGGGGGAAACAGGTGGGAATAAGGGGAGATCACTGAGTTATTACTAGAATAATTAGGGGGGAAATGCTGAAAAGGTAGTGGGACTTGGTCTTGGCCAAGAAGAGAAAGTATTGGGTTGCTGGAAAAGTCATGACATATTTTTTTTCTAGTTTTCCTATGCAAAAATGTGTCATGACTTCTCCAATAACACAATACTTGGAAAGGCAGGGAGAGACTCAGAAGCTAGGGAGTTGGACAAACTAAAGGTGTGAAAGAAATATGGCTGATGTGCAGAGAAAACCCAGAGAAGAGTGTGAATCTCTGGAGTTCATGGAGAGAAAAGAGAAACGAAGCTGTGTGTACAATGAAGTCAGGCTTGGAGGACCTTGTACACAAGAAGTGCTGGTATTTGTTGACACAGAAGCCAGGAGCTCTGGCAGCTTCCCAGAGGAAGAGTGACATGCTGACGGTGGTAATTAGAGGAAACTAATCTGGTGTAATGAAAGCCTCAGAGACCAAGTTCTCCGTCAGGACTCACCATTGAGAGGTGTTGAGGGACTGGATTAGATAGAAAGAGATAGGAAGGGAAGAAACCAAGAGACGTTTCAAGGAAATAGTAATAGGACTTAGTGACAGCTTACAAAAGAGAACTGAAAGAAGAAATTATTAGTAGAAAGGGACAGAGGCTTAATACAAAGGGAGCTCTCTGCACCAGGACTCTGCTACCTGCTGGTGGTGTGGCTACCAGCAGGTGCCCAGCCCCTGGGCCTCAGTGTTTCCTTCTGCTAAGAATGAGGTATAGATGAGATGGTGCGATCTCATGATAATGTCCCTCCAATTCTAACATCCTAGGGGGTCTATGGAACTAAAGAACAAGAGGCAGGTAAAATGAGATGATGATGAACTTGCTTCTCACATATCATGCACAAGGCAAATAAGGGATATTTTTTTATATAAACCTGCTTCAAATCTGCTAAAGTAAGACTACCAGGGACTTGCTAAATTTTTAAAAAGAAATCAACAATAATGCTACCTTAAAAAGTTTGGCTAAGACCCAGGATACTGTGACCAAATTTCTAATCTAAAAAACTAACTTGACCATTAGCTATTTCACATTTTATAGACACTCACACACATATACACACACATGGTTATATATATTTAAATTATTTGAAATTTTATGTTTTCAAATAATTATCTTGAAAAAAATTGTAAAATACTGCTTTCACACAGTAGACATGTCATTGGTAAGCACCTAATAATTGGAATATATGTGTGACAGGTGGGAGGGGTAAACTAAAATAAGTTGACAAGTGAAAGCAAAAGGCAGGACGCTAAAATTAAAAAACAAAACAAAACAAAATAAACCAACACTGATAATTTAGACTTGGGCTTGTTAAAAAAAATAAAGATGCTATGAGCAACCATACACTAACAAAAAATAAACCTGGACATGTACAATCTATCAAGATTGACTCAGAAAGACATAGAAAACTAGAATAGACCTGTAATAAACAATGAGGTTGAATCAGGAATAAATAACCTCCCAAAAAAGAAAGCCCAGGTCCTGATGACTTCACTTCTGATTTCTACAAAACTTTTAAGAAAGAGTTAACCTACATTCTACTCAAATTGTTTCTAAAGATTCCAAAGGAAGAAAACGTCCCAAATTCATTTCATGAAGCCTCCATCATCGTCATTCCCCAAACAGATGAAGACATGACAAAAAAAGAAAACTATAGACCAATATCTCTGATGAATACAGATGCAAAAATTCTTAGCAAAATATTTGTAAATCATATCCAACGACATATAAAAAAGATTATTCATCACGATCAGGTAGGCTTTATTCCATGGATGCAAGGGTGGCTCAACATACGCAAGACCATCAATATAATATACCATATTAACAGAAAGAAAGATAAAACCATATGATCATTTCAACTGATGCAGAGAAAGCATTTGATAAAATACAACATCCTTTCATGATTAAGACTCTCAGTAAGATGGGTACAGAAGGGTCATTTCTCAACACAATAAAAACCATATATGAAAAACCTACAGCTAACATTATACTGCGGGGAAAAGCTAAAAAAGCTTTTCCACTAAAAACTGGTACTAGACAAGGCTGCCCCCTTTCTCCACTGCTTTTTAACATGGTGGTGAAAGTCTTAGCTAATGCAATCAGAAAAGAGAACAATATAAAAGGCATTCAAAAAGACAAGGAAGAGTTGAAAATATCTTTATTCACAGATGACATGATGATATACTTAGAAGACCCAAAGGTTTCCATGAAAAAACTTCTCAAA